TTTTTACATGAACATAACAATTAAAATGTAGGCTACTACAAGAAATATAGTTTCAAATAAACAAATAAATCAATTTTTATATAAAAGAAGTAATACTTTTTATGACAAATTTTATGTTTATAACTAACAATTTCTTTAAAAATTAAAATATAAATTAATAATTGCATTCTGTTTAATTTTATATATTATAGTCATAAAACATAAAAAGTAAATATTTATACATATGTATCTAAAAAAATGGTTACTGCATTGCAAAATTTGCAATATTTTATATCACAATCAACTGTTTATAATTACATAGCTGATTCTGTGTAAAATATTGCCAAATATTTATGTCCAATGAAATTTATATATATTTAAAAACATATATAAATGTCATTAAACATGTAATTGTTGATGAAATAAAAATGATATGTAAAAGAATATAATACATAAAGATGTATTAAAGTTTAAATTGTTTATTACTGATGAAATAATATAGATTGACATTTAAAATTGATTACAAGACAGATGAACATTGAAAAAAAAAACCTCAAAACCAAAAAATTAGTTTTTTTATATATCAGGTATGTTTTATTATAGTTATAAATGAAATACAGTAATTATAATATATCTTTATAATTTAATGCACCATTGCCAACAATGAAACTAATTTAATATAATTACTAGTAGTATAAATAAATTTTAATAAAGAATTATTTTACATTCATTTATATTTTTATATATGATGATAAAAGAAAACTTATATGCTTAGCACATTCACAAACAATAACAAGATATAAATCCTTCATTATATCTTGTTTATATGAAAAGATTTTCAAAACAAAAAAAATTATAATTTAAAGGAGGTAATACAAGCACATTGTATTAGATATTCTGTACAGAACTTAATCTGTTTGAGAATTATATTTAAAGCATGAGAAAATGTATATAAATTATACCTGCAAAATTTGGAGGTTATACATACAGCCAGTAATAAATTCTCATTACTCATGAATTCAAGGTTAAATAACAACATAAATTATATTTTTAAACATTTCCATATACATTACAATAAGTTTATTGTAATTTTTAATCAATATCCAATTGATTTTTTTCAATTGACAACTGGAAACTTTGATATAGCACTACTTATATACAGTACCTCCATACTCATGAAGCACTTTTGAACTTCTGAATAAGATCATCTTCATAAATATTAAATTGAGAACCTTTCGGTATCTGTGAATTATTAAATTTACAATTTTGCATTGTAAATGATGATAACATAAACCATAATTCAAATTAACTTTTATATACGAATGAGATCTATATATTTCTTAATTTTTAAGATTTTTTTCAGTTTAGTGCTATGTTGAATTTACTGCCATATCAGAAGTAAAAGGTAATACTAAATCAAGGTTTGATTGTGTGTTTATTTATATAAATCAAGAGTTTTTTATTTTTTACTGTAGGTACCAAATTTTATCAGTACATAACTGACTGATATGATTAGTACTATAACTAGGCAGATGAAATAGGTGCATAAGCACATGACCCAGGACAAAGGGCCACCAAAATGGGGTATCAAAAATGATCAGTATTAACAGAAACGTCTTCCCTTCCAACCGAACACTGTGTTGAGTAATAACTGTCAACAAACACTGATAAAGGTTTTTTGTGGACAGTTATTGATGAGTATTATATTTTTATTTTCATATTTAAAATTTTGTCACTGGGGATTGAGTCCATAATATTTTTTCCAAAATAGGGGAGAAACAAAAATCTTACACAGGGCACATGAAGAGATAGTTATAGCACTGGATATGATAGGAAAAAAATGATGATACAAAAAACTTATGCTATATGTAAGAAGCATGAACTTATCTGAATTTTAACTGCCTAGAAACTGAATTTTTATTTAAATCAATAATAGTAAATCAATATTATATAATTTTTTATTTATATGATAGATTTTATATAGAAGTTTCAAAGGATGCAAAAACATTTAATATTCATTATTAAATATTTTTGAATTTATGTAGTCTTCAGCGCACTTACTGATAGTAGCATTTGAACATACTAGAAATTTTATTCAATTATTGCTGAAGTAACTTGAGATTTCTTAAATAATATTTTTAAAATTAATAATATCTTTCTTTAGTCCATGGAAACTAATAAAAATTAGTGTGAAATTTAAGGCTGATAGATAGAATACTATCTAGTTGCAAAGGATAATTCTTCAAAAATATATAAGCTCATAGCTTATCATCATTTTATGAAAAATATCAGTATGTATATTAGATAGTTTAATAATTTTTCCAAATAAAGTTTTTGATTGTTGTGATATATAAAATAATTACATACATGCATTCCCTTCCAACCATCAATAAAATGTTATGGTAGACATGCCTATCAATGAGATCATGTTGCAATTGATTGAATTTCTTTTAACAATAAAAATATGACTAGCATACATAGTAGATATAATTAACAATATTTGTTTTCACCATCTGAACTATTTAGTGTAGGGGCATTAAAAAATGTCACCAGGGCTGGGAAAAATTTACATGGGCTCCAAGTGAATAATTTGAAAATTTATTTTGAATTTATCGATATATTACTTTTTACAAAATAAACTTTAGTTATTTTTAAGCAGTTTATATTACAATAGTGCATAAGAAAAAACAAATTATGGGATGATGTCTGGGTCTGAAAGTTTTTACCCCATTATACTTCCATCTTGTCAGCCCTGATTTAGTGATATGAACATACTGTATATTATTTGTTAAGTATAATGAACTTTTGTTAATCAAAGTTAATTCATGTTAAAGCTATTTTGGTTTATGAAAAGTTTTAAATATATATAAAAGGTTTCAAATATATTTGTTTAAGATAAGACTGAATTATCAATAGAATAATGTCAGTTTCTAATTTTAAAATTTTTGAGAAAAAGAACATAAGAGTTTGTTTATTTTACAAAACTAAGTATTTTTGAGCCTATTAGATTCATCTTTAGAATGTAAGACTCTAAGTTTTACATTCTAGACTTAATATTTTCATAAATACAAAAATCCAAAGAATAAATATGTAATTTGTTGTTTTCAAAAATGTTTCTATCCATAAAAATTGTTTGACTCTGAAGGTTGACGAATAAGGTTGAAAGCATTTGGTTTTCAGAAATAAACTAGGTCTTATAAAAACTATTATTTTTTCTGATTATTTTGAAAAACACACATTGATGGTTTTTTATATTTTAATATTCAAAAACAAAAGCTCAGTTATTTGTTTATATTTAGAAAGTGACATTTTAGCAGTCCTTCTCCTTAATTGAAGTAGAAAATTTAAGTTGATAGTTTATAGTTCATTTGATATTTTAATCTATAAACTAAGCTATTTTCAAAAGTTTACTGTATGGAAATAACAATTTATTTTTTCCCTTTGCATCTTAGAAAATATATGGGAAATATTCAAATCATTTTGTTACAATTGTTAATATTTTATAATAACAATAAAGGTTATTTTTTTTTGTATGTAATGAAAATATAATAGTTAACTAATTCAAATTGTACAAGGTTAAAATAGCCTTAAATTTTGTTGGAAAAGTTTAAAATGCTGTTTATAATGGTACTGTTATAACTAACAATTATTATACAAATATTGTATTACTCCTGTAGTAATGGGAAACTAATCCTTATACAATAAAAGTTACTTGACTTAACTTGAATTATCAAATGAAATTTTTTAGATTCTTCAGTCAATGGATTACACAGTTATTCTCCAGATTTATTCAGCTTATTCTTTGTTGTATTATGAAAGTAGATACTGTATTTAATTATATCAAAAAAGAATTTCTATAAATTAGATGTTTTGCCTAAGTTTAGATCTGACTTTTAAAGATTTATAATTCTTCAATGGAAGCAATCACAGTGACTGTTCTGTAAATAANTTTTCATAAAATTTTACGAAAAACTCGCTAATCAATTATTATTATTTTTTTAAAAATTTGAATTGCGTATTTGTTTCGAATTTTATATTATTTCGTTTGTATAATAAAACTTCGAAACAAATTTTCACTTTACAAACATGTAAATTTGAATATAAGTTGCGTACTTAACTTAGAGTTAAAATATTAAATACTGTAGTCCCTATACACATTTTTAAAGTAAAATAATAATGTACAAATTATATGTAAATTTGTGTAGTACTCAGGGGCGTATCTACATAGGGACTAATAGGGCTTAAGCCCTGGGCCCCCAAGTGTCAAGGGGCACAAAAATTGAATAATCATCATAAATTTTTAATACTTTTTCATTAACAATGAGCACTTATCGTATAGTAAAAAATAGTTAATATTAATAAATAATAATAATGTTAATTTATAGTATTATTTGTTTTATTGTAAATGGGGCCCAATTGCATTTCAATAAGCCCTAGGCCCCGTAAAACCTAGATCCGCCCCCGATAATAGTATACATATATTAATATATTTTGTATATGCTTACTTTAATTAAAGCATGTTTTAACCACGTGTCATATACAACAGCACCTTCTTTATTAATAAAATATACCTTGACTACTCAACATAATTTAAAGATTTTAATCGTTCAATTTACATAAGTATAATATAATTATTACTTTAACTTGTTTAAATTAAAGTAATAATAAAAAAGGTTAATATTCTGTTCTGTTGCCAGTAGACATTACCAAGAAAGAATCACTCTACCGAAATTAAATCCCACATCAGACCACTCAGCTGTTCATCATGTCATCGTCCAATCAGAGAACAGAATTATCACCTGATTGTCGTCAGGCGTTTTTCGTTTCATTTATTATTAAAAGAACATTTATTAATGAAAAAAATAAACCAAATAAAGAAAATCTGGTTATATTTTTTTATATTAGTACGTAGTATCAATTCTTAAATTATAATAAATAAGCTATTTAATCTAAAAATATTTTTAACCTTTTCATTTGTCGTATTGTGATTGGATTTCTTTCTTTGTTCGCCGGTTGACGTCAATATCACGCCGTGAACGTGTTTTAACCAATAAGAAAGCTGGAGTTGTGACGCAAGCGCGTGAATCGTCGCTTGCAGCGGTACTCCACTGGAACGTAAAATGGCGAGTGAACAAAATCCCCTGGGGCGGTCGTTCAGTAGGCTGAACATTGAGAATTTCCGACAAGATATATATTCGGGTCAGTCTCTGCTTGATTCACATAGTGAGGAAACGTCTAGAAGAGAAACATCAACCAACTCCGGTAAAAGTAATCAAACAGATTTGTCTATAATGCTACACATTATGGAGAATATACCGACCAGATACGACATCAATAGGAATCCACCGAGATCCAGTCGGAGTAACAAAGATAAGCTGACGTGTTCTCAGCAATCGGTACTCAGTGCTATCGACCGTTTTGTGAAAGCCGTTAACAACATGGACGCTACAGTTCTGATCCCGTCCAGGTTACGAGACATCGACATCCACGGGAGTAAGCTGAATCGCGTGCTTCCTCCCGGATTGTCTCACACGGATCTTTACAGTTTCTACAACATGTTGAAAGACGTAAAGAACGAGCTGTTATGGGGACCGTCGTCGTCCACTACCACCTCTCTTTTACCGATAAGCTACCTGACCGCACCTAGAAACATCTCGCAGTTAAGACAGACATCGGACGACGGATTAGGAAGCAGCGGATCGACATCGGATCCAGAAACCGATAGTGACTTTGAAAGCGTGATTACGGATCGGGGTGAATGTATGGACGAGCAAACATCGCATTTAGCTACAGCCTTCCGGCATCACTTGCAAGGACTACACGCCATTTTGCATCAGCTTGCAGATTCGGCAGATTATTTAACGGCCCGATATCAAGAAGATATAGAAGCCGTTTGTTCAGGTTTTTAATTAAGTTGTGACATTCCTATCGGGAAAATTTTTTATTAATTAGGAACTATTTAGTAAACTAAAGAAGTGTACTATCTAATCATTATTTTATTATTATAATTATTATTATTATTATATTATTATTTTTTTATCGAATACGTTGCCTCTTGATAATGATGTTAGGAATGATTGACTTTAAACAACTTAAAACTGCATAGAATTAATTTTTTTTTATATAATAGTAATCAGTTAAGTTACAGTAAAATGTTTGCCATTTAAACGACCAAACTATATAATAATCATTTTATATGTGTAGTCAGTATAACCGATATTTTTATCATTTATAACCTCTTAATATTCACAACCATTTGAAAAGTTTGTATCGCCTACTGTGATAAAACAATTTTTTTAACAGATTTTTAAAACTGTGACCTGCAGGAACTTTTTTATTATGAAGAAATATGGGACAAAATTAATGGCCTAAAGAAATTAAATGCAAAAATAGTAGGACCGTAAAAGATAATGAAAATTCGTTTTTCTTTTTTTTTCTCTCTACCGGATAAAATTTACATTGTTTTAATTGTTGGAATTATTTTATCCCGTGTGTCGAAATAAACAAATTGACATCCATTTTGTGCAGAGGTAAATTTGTTAGCGTAAATGGCCTATATTATGGCCGTACGTGTCTGCCGTTGGTAGAGGTAGCCGAGACGGGTTGGCAAATATGCATTGTTAGTTTAAAAAACGATACCTAGGGTGAACGGAAAAGATTGACGATGTATCGGTGTAAATACTGTATATAAAGCATATATATCTTACAATGTTCTAACAAAAAAATTGATTAAAAGTGAAGCAGATGTTTATTGGCTATTAAGATTGTATGTAAAGTTGTGCCTTCAATTAAAACTTGTTTTGTATTTAAAAATTGTCTATCTGATTTTTTTCTTTGCCGAAGGAGATGTTTATATATAAATCTAATACTGATATCATGTACTACAAAGTTAGATTTTCATATATATATCATTTGCTAATTATATACAAACTTAAACTAAAATTTGTCAACATTAATTCTTTAATTTATTTTTTTACAAAAACTTCTTTTAAATGTTCCTTTTTAAAAATAATTTTAGTTTATACTTAATAGGAAAACAGTTGAAATTTTTTATATATTAATAGATAACCTGTCAATGTATTTAACATAATTTTAATTATACTCAAAAATATCAGGTTTAGTACTTTTTATAATTACTGGAAGTCCTCAGCTTGTTAATTACATAAAAGTGGTTTAAAATGTTTTCCATAGCCTTGTTCTTTAAATATACACAGCCTATAATTCATTTCATGTGTGTTTTTTTTAAACAAAATAATTTGTCAAAATTATCTTAAAACATGTATATTAATAGCTTTAAATATCTCCCTTAAAAGAGAACTTTTTTTATATGTTTTTATATTTACTATCCCTGTACTTAGGGAGTAAAATGAGAAGTGTTAAGATATTTTTAATACATTATTATTGGGCTATATCTTGGTTTAACACATACACTGGTGACTTATCATTAAAAAGTGTTTAATGCTGTATTGTGTGTTGGTGGTGGTAGCAAACATTCTTGTGTTAAACTTCTATCAAGTAATAGTTACTACTTACATATCTGCATGTAATTGTCAGGAAACAATGTTTATAACGTTTAAATGCTTGATTTAGAATTTCTAAGTAGATTAATTTTAAAAAATATTTCTATTTATTAAAATTAAGTATAATACAAAACTGTTTTATAATTGAGAAAATAATTTTAAGATGAATCAAGCTTATGGATTATGAGAGAGATATATACAATTTTACTTTTGATTATGCTACTATTTAAATCTTATCATGTTTTCTTGATTCTAATTATACCTTATTTTGGACTTTTAGTCTCAAAAATTGGGGTGTGCATTAGAATCAGGTACAGAGTTAATACAGTTTTGTTTGCTCTTCACTCTGCTCGGCAGTTTGCATTTGAGTATAGACATGGTACTGTACTTATTCATGTCACTAAAGTTTTGGTTTTGGAACATTTTGGTAGTCTTGAACTACAGCAAGCTGAATGAACAATGTCCAGCAGATAAATCCATAAAGCTGCATTTAAGCAGTTATCCACTATGCTGAAGAACATGTATACAGATATTTCAGTGTGATACTACATATCTGGTAAATTTCTTGCCTTTGTAAGGCAAATGAAAAATTGTACTGTTAAAATTGTACCTGTTTCATTGTATGGTAATTGTTATATTGTATTGGTCTGCAGATCCTCTGTACCAGATAATGGAATCAGAAATGAATATACAGTAGAACCTCGATTATCCGGACTAATTGGGGATGAAGGTAGTCCGGATAAGGGAAAATCCGGATAATCGAAACAAATACTTTAATTTGTCTTTTAATGATAATACAACACGTTTTCTTTTCGATGACATATCGGCAATATTAAAAGTAAATACTGTANGCTGAAGATCATCCATGACAGTAGCATAAAAAGAATATAAACTAAATAAAAAATAAAAAACATAAATATCTACAAAATAAAAATAATGTGCATATAAATGAAATATATTAAAGATTAAAAAATTAATTAAGTAACCAAAAAACTTATTTTCAAAATAATTTAATACAGTCAAATATCAAACATAAAATACATTCCCACACTAAATAAAGAAGAGGTGCATTCCTAAAAAAGTGCATGATGTATGAATAGTGATCATCAAGACATTAATTGTATGGAGGATAAATTTAGGAAAACCAATATGCATGATAGTTTTAAACATATTAAATTAGTGTAAAAACATAACAGAAAACTTCTCTAACGTAAGGATTGTGCTACTTTATTGTTTTGCTATATAAACTGTATTGAAAAAATTGGACTTTTTAGAATAAAATTAAACAACAGAGAAACACTTCTTGAATATCTTTTGATAAATTCATTTGTGTTAATTAAATACAGTAGAACCTCGATTATCCGGACTAATTGGGGATGAAGGTAGTCCGGATAAGGGAAAATCCGGATAATCGAAAATCCGGATAATGGAGGTCCGGATAATGGAGGTTCTACTGTATTTGAAAAAGTGGACATCATGGAGCACTAAAAACTTGAAAATAAAACATTTTTTTAAAAAAAATGCATGCATTATTGTTTAAATGCATTAACTTTTTGTGGCTTTATTTTTGAAATAGTAGATGCATTATGTTCACAAGTTAAATTTTTTCAGTTTTGACATCTCAAAAAATAGGCATGCATTAGAATTGATGGCACATTACAATCAAAAAAACACTAATTATTAGTTCCTGTGACCCATTGATGCTTTCAACTGAATTAGAGGCCCTCTTCCTCATTGTTAGAATTAGTTGGATTATCATTGACCTAGTTTATAATTTAAACTATAGACCTTGCCCTTGAGAGAGGTCTGTGCCTCTCTTATCTCTCGAAGCTGATATCAGGAAAAGAAACTTAAGCTATCACTTCACTCTCTCCAATATGTCTGTTTAAAATATTATCTATATAATGATAAATAATGTAGATATTTATAATGTTTTTCTATATAAATTCACACAAAATATATACAGTGTGTGTGTGTATATATATATAAAATATAATGTCAATATTCTGAAGAATAGACTTAACCTTTGTTGAAACCTTAAAGGCCTCTTAAACTATAGTTTGAACAGTTCAGGTGTTCCAGTCCTACTTACATATTTGTTATTTGTAATAAGAACAAAAGATTTTCAACCTTAATTTTTCATAATACATAATATAATAATAATTTATTAATTACTGGTATATTTTGAGAATATAAAAATAATTTAAAAAGTTAACATACTTATATAATGAATTTTGTAGAGTTAAATATTCAAACATACACATACACTTGTATTGTTTTTATCATTAAAAAAAGAAGAAAAAATTATGATAAGACTCATTCATAATTATAGTATCAATATGAATTTATTTTTAAAAATTTATAAGAAAACTTTATAAAAATTTTGAAACTTAATCATATGAAATAAATTTTGTCTTTAAAATAAACATGTTTTATTATTTAGCTTAAATGTAAGAGTTCAAGTAAATATACTGGATTTTTACTTTAAACAAATTTTTTAAGCCACATTACAGAAATTTCTGTTTAAGTTTGAATTTCTTTTATTATGGCAGCATATGTTGTTACATTAAAAAAGGATATAAGAGAATTAAATAAATTTTAATTCTCATTTTTAATGGTTAATCAGAATTTCATAAAATTACATGGTTGAATGATTTTTTACAATGTACATAAAGATCCAGGATGTTCAAATAAATAGGTTTTAACTTTTAAATTATTAAGCATGACTTTGATAATCAATGCAATTATACATGTCATTGCATTCAGTAGTATTGTGAAATGGATGGTAAGAGTCAGAACTTTAAACTATTCACTAACATAAAAATGTTTAGATTAATAAATACAATAAAATAAATTTTTCTTATTCATGAACATAATTCTCAATATCAGAATTAACTTTTATATAATGTCAAAATAGATTTTTAAGATTTCAAATGAAGGAAATAAATGAATTATATTAAAAATTTATTATCTTAAAATTACATAAAGAAAAAAAATTTACATTTTTTTAAATATATAAATGATTTAGGTTACGAAGAATTAGAACAAATTTTCAATGTAGAACATATCATTTTAGATTTTTACATGAACATAACAATTAAAATGTAGGCTACTACAAGAAATATAGTTTCAAATAAACAAATAAATCAATTTTTATATAAAAGAAGTAATACTTTTTATGACAAATTTTATGTTTATAACTAACAATTTCTTTAAAAATTAAAATATAAATTAATAATTGCATTCTGTTTAATTTTATATATTATAGTCATAAAACATAAAAAGTAAATATTTATACATATGTATCTAAAAAAATGGTTACTGCATTGCAAAATTTGCAATATTTTATATCACAATCAACTGTTTATAATTACATAGCTGATTCTGTGTAAAATATTGCCAAATATTTATGTCCAATGAAATTTATATATATTTAAAAACATATATAAATGTCATTAAACATGTAATTGTTGATGAAATAAAAATGATATGTAAAAGAATATAATACATAAAGATGTATTAAAGTTTAAATTGTTTATTACTGATGAAATAATATAGATTGACATTTAAAATTGATTACAAGACAGATGAACATTGAAAAAAAAAACCTCAAAACCAAAAAATTAGTTTTTTTATATATCAGGTATGTTTTATTATAGTTATAAATGAAATACAGTAATTATAATATATCTTTATAATTTAATGCACCATTGCCAACAATGAAACTAATTTAATATAATTACTAGTAGTATAAATAAATTTTAATAAAGAATTATTTTACATTCATTTATATTTTTATATATGATGATAAAAGAAAACTTATATGCTTAGCACATTCACAAACAATAACAAGATATAAATCCTTCATTATATCTTGTTTATATGAAAAGATTTTCAAAACAAAAAAAATTATAATTTAAAGGAGGTAATACAAGCACATTGTATTAGATATTCTGTACAGAACTTAATCTGTTTGAGAATTATATTTAAAGCATGAGAAAATGTATATAAATTATACCTGCAAAATTTGGAGGTTATACATACAGCCAGTAATAAATTCTCATTACTCATGAATTCAAGGTTAAATAACAACATAAATTATATTTTTAAACATTTCCATATACATTACAATAAGTTTATTGTAATTTTTAATCAATATCCAATTGATTTTTTTCAATTGACAACTGGAAACTTTGATATAGCACTACTTATATACAGTACCTCCATACTCATGAAGCACTTTTGAACTTCTGAATAAGATCATCTTCATAAATATTAAATTGAGAACCTTTC